AAAATGCAAAACATCAAAGGTCAATTAAACTATGAAATACATTTACTGATCGTGAGGCACTCCTAGCACGGGTGATGACATATGTAAATACCCAGGTTAGCTTAGCGCTAGTTAGTAGCTGGTATAATGGTATAATCTATAGTATAGTAGCTGGATGACAACCACATGTACGACAGCACTGTTTTAGGAGGCCTTAGGCTACGGATCCCCATACTTTACAGCTGCCCGATGCAAAACAAAATGCATTTGAACAATCATTTTACGTTTGGACGTGTTATTACAAAAGAGCTTATCACTAATGTGGAAAGCTCACGCTGACACCAACAGAGGGAAAGTCCGGGTTTAAGGACACGTCGCGTGGGCATTTTCAATCAACCAAGAAAGCAGTGTCTCCGCAGACCGCCCCTCCCCCTCTTAATCACGTGATACAGCCTCCACTGCGGAAACTGGGCGAAAGGTCGCCGAGCAGTGCCACTCGCTTGGATACCGAGGAAAAGCTGGAAACAACACGAACAAACCCTCCTATGCATACCTACAAGCGTACATGTTGTGCTGCTTCCATTTTAGAGATACATCATTTGAGTCAAATTGTCCCATGTTTTTAAACATTTCCCTCGATGTTAACCACCCCCACAGTCAACGTGCGTAACGTCGCTAATGTGCATTACAGACCCGTCATCAACTACAGTACTCACAATTCAAAGGTGCCGTCACAACCAAACTTCTCCAGAAACACGCAATTTTATCGGCAAAGACACACAACATACGTGTCTGCCATTGATGGGGCGGTATGGGAGGAGCAGCTAGAGCACGTGGTCCATCAAAAACTGGGTCACTCGCTTGCAGCCCGGTGTAAATAACCAAATTCTGTGTTTTGCATGCAATAATGCACTGCAGCCTTCTCGAAGACAAGAAAGCCTTCCTCCAGTGCATCATGTCTCTTACGTGTTGATACACAAGTCCGAAATGCAACGCCACTGGCCTTTTTCAGAGTTTAACAATCAGGCGAACGCATAATAGAATTAATTCCTAGTTTGTGACTTATTTGTTTGCATCACGCCCCCCTGTGATGCTTAGATCTAATGCAATGCATTATTACCGAACGACAAAGTGCCCTGTGTGTGTCCATGACAATGAATGACCTCTATTTGCACCATTGCCTACATAAGTGTAGGAAGGACATCTTACCTAGTGATACTGCCCACTACCTGGACAATGTAACGCATGGTTTTAATTAATCAATGACCAAGGAGTGTTTTAAAAGGAATAGGTACAACAACGGTTCTGACGACCTAATTCAACAACCTGTGGTAGAATGACGAGTGCGTGCTAAACTGAGTCAAACATGTTCTACTCTGAACAGCTTTAATGTGTTTTTTTCTTTCCTGACACAAAAGTTGGGAGTCTTTCCCCTACGCATTTAAAGGGCCACACGAGTCGCTCACTGCACTGACAACTCAACTCAAATATTCGAATGGACGGCATCATAAACAACGACCAGATTTCGCCACATTTATCTGAAAGCGTTTGTGTTGTCAAATACGTCGCAGCCATATTTAATGAGTGCGTCCCTTCACCGCACCGTGGGCAAGACAAGACCATGGAAAGATGCGATTACATGGAAAGTTTTTACTCACCGAGCCTTCCTATGGATCCGAGACTGTGTGTGGAAGACTACGGTGTCTGGACACAATGTGACACCGTTCGGCTGCTGAAGAATGTGGACTGCAAACGTTCGACAAAAGCTACGTGAATGAGAGCTTGTGAACACCGCCTTTTCTTTTGCTACGTCACGTTCGTTCCGAGTGAAACAGCGCCACGTGGAGGACCGTCCCGGTATAGGGTACTGTAAGAGGTAAGTGAGGACACTAAAAGGTGACGTCAGGATTTTGCTTGAAGGTCGTGAGCTCTTTTTTGTGCACTCGACTCTACTCCACTTTCTTAACAATTAAACACCGTGGATCACCCAAGGGGCCTTCTCGTCCACCTCGGGGTCACAGGCAAAAAGGAGCCCCCAATGATCACATATGGGCAACTCTAATCTAAAAACGTCCTACATTTGATTTGAACAGGTTTGCTGTTGTTGTCCCAAAAACCTCAGCAAAGCACTTTTAGGAAGAAAAAGTAAAATAGTATAATACGTGTGGTTAACTTGCTTTAGTATGATTATGTAAGTAAAGAATTGTGTGTGCCACAATACCTCAATATTTCAAATCTGTATGGAAATATTAATAAATTGCACTAGCAATTTAAATGTCAGATATTCTATGCCAGAAAATTAAGGAAGATATACATGATATCTTTCTATTCCCAACACAAATTAGTAATCCTACTTCCTGGTTACTTAAAATAATTTGCACTGATAAATTACTGCAACTTTTTTTAACCTGGCTAAAAATTAAATTTCCCTATCCGCTGCTGAGGCAGCGAGAGCTGGCCATGGTGTCCAAAGAGGGTAGAAAGTGGCCAATGATCTTTTGGGCACTATTGACGATCCTCTGCAGGGCTCTCCTGTCTGCTGCTGTGCACTCCCAGAACCACACTGTAATGCATGCAATAATAAAATAACGAATTAATGAGTTGCAAAACACAATTTGACAGGGATTCACTGTATTAAATACACTTTTATTGGGTGCCATCAGATTTTTATTGTGCTTAGTATGTGTCGTTTCCAAGTCATAAATGACTGAGTGGGATACCAAATATCTTCTCGGCTTTGAACTGTCACAGCAAGAACAACAATTAAGTGCAAGAACCAATAAAATTATTCATTCATTCATTCATTCATTCATTCATTCATTCATTTTCCGATCCGCTTATCCTGACGAGGGTCGCGGGGGGTGCTGGAGCCTATCCCAGCTGTCTTCGGGCAGTCCAAATAAAATAATTTGGATATATTGTATATACATGTACAAAAGAGAGCATTGAATTAAATATAAAAATAATATCACAAGCAGATACTTAAATGATGATGTAACTAAACAGAGGTATTGAAACAAGGTGGAAAAAAAGACTACATCAGGCACTTTTGAATGTTAATGGATGTTTGGGGCTCCAAGGTGGTCACAAAGCCGTAGGCAGGTGCTTACCTGGTTTATGCCTTTATTCACTTTTGCTTTGGCAGCTCTAAGTAATTTATAATAATCCATCCATCCATCCCGCTTATCCTCACAAGGGTCGCGGGGCGTGCTGGAGGCTATCCCAACTGTCTTTGAGCAGCAGGCGGCGTACACCCTGAACCGGCTGCCAGCCAATCGCAGGGCACACAGAGACGAACAACCATCCACGCTCACACTCACACCTAGGGACAATTTAGAGTGTTCAATCAGCCTGCCACGCATGTTTCTGGAATGTGGGAGGGAACCGGAGCACCCGGAGAAAACCCACAGAGGCACAGGAAGAACACGCAAACTCCAGACAAGAAGGCTGGAATCGAACTCTGCACCTCCGCACTGTGAGGCCGACGTGCTAACCAGTCGACTACCAGTCTGCCCTATAATAATAATAACAATAATAATAATAATAATAACAATAAGTATAATAATATATAATCAAAAAGTCCCATACACTTGCAGTCGATCTGAGATAAGTGACAAGAGAACAACTTCAGGTAAACAAGTACAGTAAATGAATCAATAAGCAAATAAGTAAATAAATAAATAATTGCAAAAGATGAATGTGTTTCAGTAGTTTACTTTGTAGAATATCATAGAAGAGTTTGATTTATTTCATTAGTTCAATCCATATTATGAAAAATAATATTGTCTCAATGTACAGTGTACAACATGAGTTTCGCTATTTAAACTGAACTTGTGATACAGTATATAGTTTTCAAGTACAGTATTCGAATTAATTGAGATGTACAGTTCACTGAGTGGTACACTCGCCTAATATGTGTGCGGGCAGTGTGGGCTCAGTTCCCACCCAGTGACGGTGTGAATGTGGGTGTGAACGGTCATTTGTCTCTATATGTGCCTCGCATCTGACCGGCGACCAGTTCAGGGTGTAGCCCGCCTTTCGCCCGAAGTCAGCTGGGATAGGTTTCCAGCACCCTCCCGCAACCCTGTTCAGGATGAGCGGTGTTGAAAATGGATGGATGGATGGATGGATGGATGGATGGATGGATGGATGAGATGTACTCACGATGCACACGTTCAATAAATCATCACTAGGGGGCGTCATGAGTTGGTGCTGAAGCAATAAATTCAAGACATGAGACTAATAAATGTGATTTACAAAGTTTATTCATTTGTGTGAGGAAGCTCTTTCTACGTAGTCAATCTACACACCCTCTCTTAATAATGGTGTGCTCAGAATTATGTAATCAAACTGAAACTTTTGTTAAATGTGAGTCAGCACACATTTGCCACTAATTTAAAGTGCCTCTGATCAACCCCAAATGCATTTCAGATGTTCTCTATTTTCTAGCAGGCTTTTTTCCCTTACACAAAATGTAGGCTGTGCAACAAGAAGGAATGAATCCCTGGACCTATTTTATACTAAATGTAAATGGAACTCTTCTTGAATATTTTAATTTTAAATGTCATATTATTATTATTATTATTATTATTATTATTATTATTACGGCACTTTGTTACAGCTCGTTAAAGTGCTCTCTAAATAAAGTTCATGTTCATGTCAACTTCATTGTCAAATGTGCATGTGTTACATGTGTAACATGCAGCACAGATGAAATTTCTTTCCTCAGGGGAGAGAGGATCTGCTGCGGGTGCCCGCGCCGCCATTCAAAAGAACAGTTAACATAAAATGACAAATAATGCAACACAACACATAAGACACAGACAGTCGTGCAATCCTAACACCTTTTCTGCATACACGTTGCTGTTTGAAGCAATAGATGAAAGAGGATGAAAGAGTTGTGTTGAGTTCAAGTTCAAGGTACACTGAAAAACGTCACTTGTTTGGTGGATGACTTTCTGTTTGATTACACTTCATAAAAGCAGTTAATTTTCTTTGCATGCTCTCTTATTTTTTTCTATTTATATTTTACAATACATTATCTGACTATTACAAACATGTTGCACAAAATTGTGAAGTTTTAAGCGAGCTGCAACGGATGAATGACATTTCACTTCACTTAATCGTGGAACATCAATTTTAACAACAAAACAACACGAATGTTGTTCATACAAATACACGTGAAAATAAAAACACAAAGAAATGAATAAATTGGCTTCATCTCGGTACGGTATTTGGTTAGTCGTGCTCAGAGGAACTACTGTAAATACATAATGGGGAATAAATTACGTGAAGAAGCCTTTTGTTGAGACGGAAGTGAACTGACATCAAACATGTACCAAACCGCTGTGCGCGTGAGTGGAGCGCGCCTCCGTCGAGCGCGCGCGTGCGTCTCAACTGTCACTAAAGAGCCGCCGCGTGCCTAACAGCTGTTGCCTGCCAGCTCGTGGCATGTGCAGATGACTTGACTTGAGCAGGGGAGGGGAATTAAGTCTGACCACAGCTTCGATTTGGAGACTGCTTTTTTTTTTTTTTTGGGTGGGTAGTAAGCATACTAACGGTGACATGAGCGGCTTTATTGGACGGTGAAGGAGAGAATGAGAATAGCGGATTTTGTTTCCACTCGGAGGTACAGCGCAAAAGAGAACTCACTCCAAAGGTAAGCGGGGCCGCCGGAAGTAAGCGTTAGCGTTCGAACTGTAAATGTGAATCATTTCGTTTGATAAATATCTGACAGCAGGACTGCTAAAGCTCGTGTTTGGGTGGCCACCTAGTGTGGTTGATGTCCCCTACCAGGTGGCGCTTCATACTCCTTTTCGAGTGTTTTTCTTGTTTTACTTGAAAATAAACCGAACCAGTGAAGGGATTTGAGTTCACAACACTTGTCAGTTGTTGTTAACGCTCCGAGGAAACACTTCGATTGGGATGTACAGTATAGTAAGTTAAAAACGCACAATTAAACGCGAAGATTGGAGGTTAATTCGTTTTCCCTGTGTAGTTTGAGACACTGTCGAGTCAGACGTTCCCACGGATTGAATTGCACGCAAACGTCATTGATAGCCAACTACTGTATTACCTACAATATCTATTTACAGTGAGGTCGTAGAGAAGTTAAAAAACCCACAATCTTGGGCATCATTTTAGTGCGTACTTTACAGACAGGAGTTGTGTGGACATGAATGTGTGCAGATCTTTTCCCAGTCATACTCTAGTATGTGGGCTGATAACCGTTTTGCGCTGACCACCGATGCTTCAGCATTACAAGTAGGCCAGTGGCTTTTTTGCTGTGCTATTTCATCCGTGCACAGTCCTCTTTAGAATGTACTGGGCGTCTAACTGGTTCATATAGGGGGAGGGGGGTAGCCACAGACCATTTGAATGGGAAATCTCCTGGAGGACAGCGCTCATCCTCCATCCCATGCCAGATGTTGTTGTTTATTTTGTGTGTTTTGGTCTTCGGTGTGACGTAGCAGATGTGTATGCCTCTCCCTGCACTGTAACAGTTCACAGAGACGCACTGTTGTAACGATCACAAGAGTGACAGAAGGCCAAGGGCTGACTGGTTCTGTCACACTGGTCAGCATCTGATTCGTTTGTCATCTTAACCTGTAAAGCCAAAGTGACATTTTAACATTCCCAATTGAATTGTCAGGAGTGCAAGAAGTTTATCTGTGCAAAACAATAAAATAAAAGTACTCACCATATGATGAAATGTAACAGGTGTAGTGTTTTGAGTGGAAAAGGGAGCTTGCTGAAAGTGAGTCACCTTTATGCATTCATGTGGAGGAAGCATTACTTTTCCTGTGAAGTGAGTCTCCTCGTATGAACAGGAATCTAGGGGATTTGATACTGCACATTCCATTCTTCTATCATTTATCATGTCACCAAATTGCTTTGGCCATAGTTGGGATATCACAGTTAAGTTTCCGGTCAGTCATCAAGCTTTCCTCTTTGCCTTCATTACCTTTCTTTCCGTGCAAGAAGCAGAAGCAAACTACACTTGAAGTTAATCCTTGAGCTGAATTCTCCACGGAACACGGTGAAGTCTTTCACGCTATGCCGACATCTTGCATGATAGCAGTTCACCTCTTTTGGTTACTTTCCAACCATATGACCTGGAGGCTGTTTTATTTGTCACGATCCACTGTACCCGCTCACACAGACGTGTGCTGTATAATAGGTTTCTGCATAGTTTGTGTAGGAGGCTCACTTTTGATCAAGGTGAAGGAACAAGTTCAGTCGTTTTCCATAGTTAGGCCCGGAAGATTTCTTGGTTGTTCCAACGGTGCAATTTTCCTGGTATTCAAAGAGTAACGCTAATCGGCGTTTGACTGACTCAAGTTTCTTAGAATGACAAACTAATCGCAGGATCACATTCCATATCATCGGATTCTCTCATTAATAGCTATAAGTAGGTGCTCTTTTGAGATCACTGATTATTTATGAATGAATTATTTATGAAGTTATTGCCATGCGGAAAGCCTCCCCGTAAATCCTCATCACCTAAGGATGGTGATGTTTAGGATCAGTAATTATAATGGCCAGTGAACAGACACCCACAGCATTACTGATCTGAAAAGATAACATTATTACTTGAATATAATCCACATCATAAAGAGAAAATATTACACTTTTATGACATCACAGTCATCCTTGCACAATTTCACAACTGTTCTATCGGTAAAACACAAATGACTAAATAGATTGTGTGACTTATTAACCACCCAGTCAACAGAACAGTGGAAATGCAGCTCTTCTGAAAATGTTGTCACGTTGAAAAAAACTGAATTGAATTAACAACAATCGGCCTATTTTTAGCACTACGTGTGCCACATTGTAACAAACAAGCTGTGTTGTGGGCATGCTGCCACTTTAATTGGTTGTAATTTTCCTCAGCAACAAAACACCACAGGATTTCAGAATGTATTTTTAAATGAGTCAAAATGATAACTCGCATTTGAAATTCAACCGTGCTCTACTGAGAAGATCCAATGGTTCGTGACATGAAGTCCAAAATAGCTGTTTGTGTTTATATGAATGCTATGTTAGGCGATTTGGAAAAATCCCTGTGATTGTTTCCACTCTTATGTTTGGTTCTGCTCGGGAATACATCATGTTGAGAAGGATCATGCATTCTCCTCCAGTGTAGGAATGTCCCTTCTCATTTATAGTACCACAATCTTCCCTCTGTGCTTGCATGAAAACTCATCAGCAGCAGTGCAAAAAAAAAAAAAAAAAAAGCTTTTGACTTAACCTGGTGATGGTGGAAGTGATTGACTTAATTTTAACTATTGTCTGACTATGGTTCCCTTGCTCCATGAATTATTTAGTCTGTTTGGCATTGTAAGACAATCCTGTGTGTGGTTCACCATTTTTTGTTTTTTCTTTGTGCTTGTCTATGGCCTGGGATTGCTTTATAAAGACTGGCCAGTTTACAAGAATATTTTTAATGTGGTCTATATTGACATTGCACCAGTCATTAAATCATAGATGATAGCTTTTTGTTCACTCCTCTGTTTCTTTTTATTTAATTAATTAATTTATTTATTGTATTAGCATGACTGTATCATTGGCAGGAAGATGCTTCATTTATGAGAGTCTGACGTCTTGAGTACAAGCTTGTGGTTTTAAGAATAATGTTCCCTTGACATTCCTGTCCCTCTCATACCACCCCACTAAAATATTCTCCTCGTCTGGGAAACAACTGGCTGGCCAGCCGTTCCAGTGGCTATAACTTAGTGGTCATTGTTATATTTAGACAACCCACCCCCTCCCCAAGGTAATGATAGGGAAGCAAGGACAGGACCACGGGTGTTCTGGCCTAACACATATGCAACGTGAAGTGAAAGAGCCCGCCATGAGTGTCACCATAGAAACCTTAATATGTGGAAATTGTTGGGTAGGTTTTGGGTGGTGTTGGTGAGTCTGAGCTTGCTGTGTTATCAGCTTTGGAAGAATGATAAGGCCTTTGCCACAGTGGTGACTCTTCTCCTTTAGGGACCACAAGCTATTCTGAGCCTTTTTCTTTTTCCACTGACACCCTTTGGATGGTTCACCCTTGGGTCACACAATGCCTATGTTGCTGATATTTTCCATACGAAAACAAAAAAAGCTTTTACCATATAAAGGGAGAAAGCAAAAATAATAGTTTAAAAAAATGTGTTGCAATAGAGCTTAGCGTGCAAGTAGTGAAACCTCCAGCGGTTCATCCAGAAAATAGTCGAACAGTTTAAAGATAATGTTCCTCAATGTACAATTGCAAGGAATTTGGGGATTTCATCATTTATGATCCATGATACCATCAAAAGGTTCAGAGAACCTGCATGTAAGTGGCAAGGCTGAAAACCAACATTAAATGCCGTGACCTTCGATCCCTCAGGCGGCACTGCAACAAAAAAAACAACCTCTGGAAAGGATATCACCTCCTGGGCTCAGGAACACTTTAGAAAAACAATGTCAATAAATACAGGTTGGCACTACATCCTTAAGTGCAACTTAAAACTGTATTGTGCAAAGCAATAGCCATTTATCAACAACACCCAGAAACGTCATCGGTTTCTCTGGGTCTGAGCTCATGGAAGATGGCCTAATGCAAAGTGTCGTCTGACGAATTCACACTTCAAAGTGTTTTTAGAAATTGTGTATGTCCTGTCCTGCTGGCCAAAAAAAAGAACTACCCGGATTGTTATGGACGCAAAGTTCAAAAGCCAGCATCTCTGATGGTATGGGTCTATGTTAGTGCCAATGGCATGGGTAACTTACACATATGTGAAGGCAGCATTCATGCCGAAAGGTACATACACATTTTGGAGAAAAATATGCTGCCATCCAAGCAATAACTTTTTCATGGACGCTCCTGCTTATTTCACCAAGACAATGCCAAACCACATTCTGCACGCGTTACAACAGTGTGACTTCGTAATAAAAGAGTGAGCTACTCGACTGGTCTGCCTGCAGTCCAGACCTGTCTCCCTCTGAAAATGTGGAGCATAGTATGAAGCTTAAAATGTGACAATGGAGACCCTGGACTGCTGAACAGCTCAAACTGTACGTCAAGCAAGAATGGGAAAGAATTCTACCTAACAAGTTTCAACAATTGGTGTCCTCCATTCCCAAATGTTTATTGAATATTGTTAAAAGAAATGGTGACCTAACACAGTGGTAAGCAAGTGTCTTTGTAGTGTATTCAATTCAATGAACAAATCGCTGTATTATGTTTTTTTTATGTTGAATATGACAACGCCACATCATTGGAATTGGATTTGTATTGTTTTACGGACCACAAAAAGAACCATATCTCACACATACAGGCATGCAAGGAGAGATGTTGTCAGAGTGAAGGAGAAAGTGAACATTGCTCTGCACCTCTTAAACTTGAAGGGTGGAGGTCAGTGCTTTTGTCAGGGCATCTCAGCAGTAGTCAACTAGCGTCTCCGCAATTCCTACATTAGTTGTTGTGGAGATTCTAGTCTGGACATAATAAAAAGGAGAAATAATTCCAACTGCCAACCTCAGAAAAATGGGGCAGATGTGCTGATCACTAGCCACTGTGCTGTGCAACTTTAAATCTACCTCTTGTGTCACAATGATAACATAACCAGAACCTATGAGTAAATATAGGCTGCTTGTCATGCCGGAAAAAGAATTTGCTCACACGAACAACATGCACAGGAACTATTGTATTTAAGAGCTCGAGACCAGCTTCCTGCCCATCATCTCTACAGTGGAGCAAGACGAAGCACACACAATCTGAAATGGGCCATCCCCCTGCCCCCATCCCTTTTATCACCATCTTGTCCTTAATTTGTATGCTTCCTCAAAACAAGTGTGCTCCCTTTGTCTCTGACATTGATTAAAATCAGCTGTAACTATGTGGCCTATTCGATCTGAGACAGACAGACAGACAGAACTGGTCCCGTTTTATTTTTGGTTTAGAGCAGAGTGAACGACACCATCCAGACAAAAGCTTTTGGGCTTGATTAGACCAGATGGTGATAACTCCTTCTGTCCTTTAAAGCAAATGTGGCTTTTGGTGACTATTGAAGAGCTTTTGTTGTGAAGAATGTGGTGTATCTCTGGAAATACCCTCAAATCCAACCTTCAAATGGGCAGACCTCTTGTAATAGAGATACAAATCCTTCCTGTGCTGGAGCTAAAGCGCTCACACCGAGGCAAGTCTGCACATGTGAGGTTAATGGCTGACAGCATTTCGACGGCCGCTGAGGATTGATTTATCATCCCGTGGCAAAAAGGTCTTCTCAGGTCTTTCAGTTACTTTACGAATGCCAGACTCTTAATCTATGATTTTCATTTTCCCCGAATGTAATCCTCTGTTGTAAATCCCAAATCAGATAAAGTTTGATGATAGACACGAAAATAGATGATCGGGGATGAAGGAAACGGAGAGAGGTGCGATGATGACTTACATTTTGGATTAGTCAATAGACATTTTTGTGTTTACAAACTAAGATGGTGAACATTGACTCAGTATAGGATTAGGTTTTCTCTCTCTCTCTCTCTCTCTCTCTCTCTCTCTCTCTCTCTCTCTCTCTCTTTTTAAGAGCATTAGCTTTCTCCTTAAAGAGGAAGCATTTTTGAGATGTCATGCATTAATAGCCCTGTTGCTAGGACTAAGCAAAACAGTTTAATTGATTTGTACTGATTAACTGAGTCTGGTGCAAAATGCTGTGCACTACAACAAGACAACATTTATGGGAATACTCTCACTACTCTTCCAGAAACACCACTTAATCAGATAATCCGTCATTCTATTCCCTCAATCGATTAAAGACATTTTGACAAATGCCAGTCCAAACACCTGCTCTGAGCTCCACAAAGTTTTGCTGTTTTCTCTCTTTTTTTAAGGACATCTGACCACATGTTGTCTTGAAACCACATCATGAGTAAGCCAGAATTCAGAATACTTTGCAAACTGTTTGTGGTTATAGATATGAGCTGAGAACAAGTTAGATTTGGAACTTTATGTCATAACAGGACATGATGTCACTCAGGCCGCTGTCTCAAAGTCCTGTGTCCTTGAAGCAACCAGGTTCTCACTCACGGTTAACAGAGAACAATTGTTGCTTGGATACTCAAGCTCCTTTAATTTATTTAAAAAAAAAAAAAAGCTGTACCACTTGCTCACAACTTCTCATACCCCTCACTTTCTTTTGACACACACACACATAATAATTGTTGTATCTTTTTTCTGATGTTTGCAGATTGTATTTGTGTGCTAATTAAAAATGCATCTTGGTCGCAATGCACTGCCAACTGCAGTAGCCACAATACAACTCTAGGTGTGATGCTTGATATTCTACTCAGTGGCCTTCTGGTGTGCTTCGTCTCTGTGTTTTCTGGAGTTTCCTCCTGTCTGACACAATGTTCTTCAAACACAAGTTAGTCTTAAGTCTTTCTTAACTTGCGTTCACATTTCAACATCTAGAAGTTTGAAATATGTTTCAGCAGTACAGGCAAAATAACAAAAGCAAAAATGTGAAGTGGTAATGTGAGGCTTTATTCGGCTGAAGGCTTTGTTTCACACATTGTGCAGTTCTTGTTCAACCTGTTGTTGAAGGAGTGGCAGTCGCTGGTTTCCTTTTCTTCCTGACCCCTACACAATACTATCTGCAGTCAGAAGACCCAACACAGGAAGTAAAATGCTTCAACCTATATGGTGAATTAAAACAGCCCTTGGAAACTACATAAATTACATACCGTGGATCATGTTTTCATATCAACTTCTTTAGAATTGGATGAAAACGGCTTCTGTTGTTGTCAGCTTTTTCTTACAAATCTTGCCCCATAGGAAATAATAGAAATTGGGGGCAAAAAGTAATTCCTCAGTCATACTTTTGTCGTCATAAAATTTTTCTTTACTGTGTAGGCAATGTTTTGAATGACAAATAATACGAATGCAAATAAGCTTTTTCAACTTGTAATAGGAACATGTTAAAACAGTAAGACAATTGACCTGTGATAACACGTGCCAATGAGCGCAGCATTCGACAGCTAGCTTGCTACCAGCTAAAGTAAGAAATTGACTGCACTGTCTCAGCCTCGGCAGAATTGTTTGGGGTCCGAATCAGAGTTGCGGCCTTTCTGTGTAGCGTCTTGAGTGTTCTCCCTGTGCATGGAAACTCTACACAGAAGGAAGCCGCAGTCAATTTTGCCTCGGAACCATGAGGCAGACATGCTACCCGTTACAATACTGAGCTGCTGATAGTGTTTAGTTGTTGTATTTACAATGCATTCAGTTAGCAACATTTACTCAATTAAAAATCAAATCAAAGTTAAATATAAATGTAAAATTCTTTATTCTACTTGTTTCATTTATTACAATTTAACATGTAACAAATAAGAAAATTTGTCTCAAAATGGAGAAATTCCCAATTTACAGCAGCAAAATTATGAAATGGACAAAGTAGAAGACAAAAAGTATATAAATATAAAATATAAGCATATTAAAAATGGGTGAGTTGGGGTGAGTCCAGGTTCAATATAATAATCAAATAATTAAATTGTTAAACTGCCCACCTGTTGGACAAGAGGGTTAGCTGTTGTGTTCAACTGTTTATTCCGTGGCCATTAAAATTACGGTCGCCTCTTGCTCCCCATTCCTACATTTTATGTTGTCTATTTTTACTCCTTTATTTGGCTCCTGCTCAGTGCCCACTTTGATGATGAACCTTTGTGGTGCAGGAAGTGCATTCTGTTGTCAAACATGGTTCATAGACACAAGTAAAAGGTCTTTGTGTGTTTGACAGGTGTGTTGACACCTGTTCCTTTGCAACATGCAAATTGCCTGAGGTCGTAGCTGGTAACATGCTGGTAAACATCAGTGAAAGTCTTCCTCATATTTCTGCATTGCAGAAGAAAGAGTTATACTCATAGTGTTTAGTTGTAGAGACACACGGACATGTACATGCAGAGTGTAAAAGAGAATGTTAATGACGCTTTTTCTTAGCACCGTTTTTTTCATACCCGGTAGTTGGATATGTTGATCGAGAAAGCATCTGAGCGGAGCTGAGGGTTCAACGTACTTGTCTTTGTTGATATTTAACTATTTCTCTGTCGATTTGTTAATAAGATGATGACTGGTATATTTTGATATCCACAATAATAAGTTCTCGCTACCATTTCTTTTGTTATAGCCATGAAGAAGGACATAGACACGCTGATAGCAGAGGAACGTGCTGACATCATTTCCAAATATGACAAGGTGAGAGAAACACAAACGCATAAACTGTTGCGTCTAACTATGTCGGCAATTTCCTGCAATGTTAAACTTGAGATTTAGTGGCCGTGAAGCCCAAGTAAAGGTTTGTAATGGATTTGAAAATACTGTATCGGTTTCTTTGGCACCTGAACCTTTTATTTTAACCACAACATTTTCTTTTCATGTTTTTGGCATGTTTTTGTTTCAGGGCAGGCAAGACGGTGTCAGTATTGACCCTTGGGAGGATGCTGACTACAGCATCTATAAGGTGATGGACCGCTTTGGCTTCCTGCAGTAAGTTAACCAGCTGTAACTATGCTTTTCCTTGCACCGTATTCCTGTTTTCCTACTGGCGTTTCTTGTTAATTCATGCCACCTATGGTTTATTTTGTAATGTTCTTTTGTTTTAGTGAGAAAGAGTTACCGACACCCAGCGTGATTGAAGAAAAGGTATTTATTTAAATGGAACTCTAACCATTATGCCGCTGCATATGCCACTGTCTGTATGTCCTGGCATTTTTGCATTGTCCATGTTTTCTAACTCCAGCAAAAGCTGCAGGAGATTGAGCGTGTGGAGAAGTGGCTAAAGATGGTGAAGAACTGGAGCAAGTATAAGAACAGCGACAAGGTGCTTTCTCTTTAACCCCTTTGGACATGCCATTCAATTTTCTTCACCTACCCCTGGTGCAAATTGCGAACACACTTTTAATATTGTACCGCATGAGCGTGAGTGAGGATTAATACGGTACATGTACAATCAGTTAATCTCTCACTCTATTGATCTAACCAGGTAGGTCAGCTGAGAACTAGTTCTCATTTACCACGACAACCTGGCCACTGCTGGCTTAAGTACTTGCCAGATGTTGAATGTTCACTCATTTGTGTCTAATTGTCTTATCCAGAATTGTCTAAGGCTGACTTGCAATGGAATCATCAAGAGCTGTCTATTTAAGCCACGCCCTTCTCTCACATTAAAAATGTCCTTGCTTATGTTTGTCGCTGTTTTCGTGCGTTTCAGTTGGTGAAGCGTGTTTATAAAGGCATCCCCCTCCAGCTAAGAGGCCAGGCCTGGGCCTTACTTTTGGACATAGAGAAGGTGAAAAAGGACAACGAGGGAAAATATGAGGTATGAATGATACTAGAGTAGCTCTGTCATGCATTCGCTCCCACCAGCCTGTCTTATGGCATTTGTTATTTTCTTTTCTTTTTTTTTTTCTTTTTTTATTTTTTAGAAAATGAAGCTGCAGGCTCGCAACTTCTCCACAGAGATCAAACAGATTGACTTGGATGTCAATAGAACCTTCCGGAACCACATTATGTTCATGGAACGCTTTGGAGTCATGTGAGTCCTTCGTTCACGAGGTTATGAGGAGCCTCTTTTATTTGAACCGTCAAAAAGTATTGTTTGATAATTGCCTCAAATTAGATACGCAGAGCTGTTCGGGCACTATGAAAATCTTGAATTCACTGCAGATTTATATAATTACATTCAAACCTTTTTTTAACTGTCCTTGCAAAGGGAGTGACAGAGCTAAAAATGTTCATCACAAATGTCTTTGGTTATGTCTAGTACCATCCAGAGTTCTTGTTTTTGTTTCCTTCCACATCACAAGTTCGGGTTTGTTCATGCTGGTGTCCGTTTGGGCGTGACCTTTGGCTTGTGTGTGTGTTGGGAGATGCCCAACACACACACACACACACACACACACACACACACACACACACACACGCACGGGCACACAGACTAAAGCACCAGTTTCCTCCTCTCTCTGTTTTATTAGCCTTCCTGTGAGTGCACAAAGCCCCACAGGAAATGACATTTATTCACAAATTCGCTCATAGAGAACAGTCACATCTCCAACCGCCTAATAATTTGACATCACATAGACTTGGGTATGGAAGAAAACTTATGCTTGAGATTTCATGCCTGGCTTTAATACTTGGCTTTTGTCATTTGCTTGGTGGGTTTGGTTGTGCGAGCACCGCATGCGTCACAGTGTTCTCCCCCACAGTTGAGACCGACTGAGACCAAAACAGCTCCATCCTGCTTTGTTGCCCACTCTTTTCCTACAAGTCAACAGTTCTCCCCCCACACACGGCCAACCACTTGCATACGCACACCTGCACACAAATGCAGGCATACACGCATGCATAGACACCTCCACACATGCGCGCGTCAACACCGGCCACTACTTAAAGGTCCTTTCCTGTCTCAGTCAATGTCTGTGAGACGTGTATATTTTATGGGGCTCTGGAGGGGAGATATCCTTTGTTGTTCGCATCGTATTTGTTAACTCCACACACGTGTTTGCACAACCACACACACGCACACCCTCACACTTGATGACGGGTTTTATATCTTGTCCTGTACAGAGCAATCAACACAATGCGTCGATTCCTTATCCTAATGAGGTTGAGTTAATGTGGTTAACAGGCTGTAAGAAAGAGATTGATTGATGGATTGATTCACTGGGTGATTGCCTGGTCAATGTATTACGCCCCCTCTTGGTCCTTTTCATCTGAATGGGGAACTGAAAAAAACAGACAAGGAAGGGGAAGTTCTTCCCGATAATAGTAGCCTACATGCTACAACTATAACTGTATATGCTGTAAATGCCCGAAACTAATAATTACCAACACATCTTTTGTATTCGTTGATGGTTAATCCTTCATTATGTAGAAACTCTGGCCGAAGTTAGATTCTTGATGAAGAATTTTTTTTTTTTTGCAACAGAAAAAAATTGGTTTTACCAAAAAAAAAAAAAAAATAATAATAATAATAAGCACATTCATATTTTTAACACAATTGAATTCTGGATATTTGCATGTATCCCTGGCTCCAGTTTAGGTGAATTCACTTTTCATGAATCATAAAACATTAAGCGTATTCTGTGAAGCACTTTATGATGCTGCTCGGTCTCTTCTCGTTTTTATACATTACATTTAATTTAATCGAACACAATTGTTAACGCTATACTGCAGCCAGGTATTGTCCTACTCCCTCAAGTGATTCTTACAGCTATTTTAATGTGTCAATGTGCTGGCCGGCGGCTTTAATTTGGGGATATGCTCATTTCATCTTGATTTACATGACTCTATGAAACCAGCAGTTGTAGCAACAGTCATATTTCTCACGGTAATTGTTGGTTTCCATGTTCCCTTTTTTCAGGCAACAGGCGCTCTTTCATGTACTCGCAGCCTACTCTGTCTACAACACGGTAAGATAAAGTAGATCAGCCTCCACGTTCTCAAGTGCATGACATCACATCATGCAGTCTCATGTGCATTGCTACAGAGGCAAGCAAAAAAACCCCAAAAAAAAACACCTCAGCGGTGCTGCAGTTACAAGTCATTACTATGATTTACGAATAAATATGTACAAGATAAGATAAGATAAGATAATATAGGATAAGATAACCTTTATTTGTCCCACACTGGAGAAATTTGCAGTCTACAGCAGCAAAATTGGAGGGGTAGAAAAGAAAAAAAAAGAACCGTCACCGCAAAGTAATCTCTTTTTGTCGGGTTGGTAATCTTTTGTGATTTATGTATTATGTAATATGTGATTTATGGATTTAACTTCAAAGTATGTACGGTAAATACAATGCAACAATCAATTGAATATGCATGCATGAGCCATTTACACCAACCCCTTCATCAGCTTCATGTGAGCCATATGACATGTCAATGCAAATGAAGCAATTGGCACAACAGTTATCCAATTTGCTCGAGGCAGTTTATGTACATTTACACAGACTGTATAAAGATGAATAATGTGTATTCACTAAATCTTAGAAACAGATGTATCGGCGCATTGTAATTCCTTGCGTGGACTGCATTTGAAAAGGCCATTACATATCACTGCATATTTTCCATAGACGTATACTACGTTGCTATTATTCTTAAGGATTTTAAACATATCAGCACAACTGCAGTGAACAATCAACAAATAAACTCAATTAAAGACAACGGAATCAGACTACAATATAGTGTGTGTAACGCACAGCCGGCTGTCATTTGAAGTGGGGTGACATATTTTTCCTTTGCAAATACACAGAACATGTCACTGCTCACAAAACACCATCCAGTGCAGTTTTTTTTCCCTCATAGGGATGTGTTTGCAGTTCCTGTGTGGAAGAGGTGTTTGAGCCATAGGAAATGGGCATGTGCTAATTCCCTTTTCCCTGTTTCCCTCCACTCACAAACTGCTCAAAAGAAAGTGGGTCAGTGGGAGAGCACGGGAGCGAAAATGGGAGGAAGGGTCCTGTTGGTGGTAGTGGTGGTGGGGGGGTCCTTTCGCCTATGTGACAGCAGAGAAGAATGTGGAGAATGTTGTGTAACCTCAGTGCAATCACATTTACTTTTATCCTTTCAAGGGTACTGTGAATGGGCAATTCCTAGGCCCAAATATGGACAAGGGCAGTTTCGTTCATGTCGGTTCAAGGTGGTAGAAATTCAAGATGAAAACATGGCAGTTGTGGAAGTGTTGACTCTACAGTAAATATTTGAACAACCTTAGTGTAAATGTTTATATTACTGCAGCACATAGAGGAGATCTGTGTGGTCTAAGTGCAAAAAAAAAAAACAAAGCCTCCACAAGTCCACATCATGCATTCAGTATGCTCTTAAAACCTCGTCTCTCGCTCTTGTGCGTGCTCTGATAAATTATGAATTATTCCTCTTATTTGCCAGTAGAGTTGAACTGTCTCTTCTGCCCCGTTCCCAGGAGGTGAGCTACTGTCAGGGGATGAGTCAGATCGCTGCTATCCTGCTCATGTACCTGAATGAGGAGGACGCCTTCTGGGCTCTCTCCCAGCTGCTCACCAACAGCCAACATGCCATGCATGGTGAGACAACACAAATTTGAGCTGAAAAATGACTGGACCAGCACCAGCGTTGTTTTGGTATTTACAGTATGCGTTCAAACAGTTACTCAATATTGAAACGCAATCTTTCAAAAGTAAAATCTACATCAGATCCGGTCATGTAATACTGTAACTTCTGACCCTGCATATATATATATATACAGGAGGAAATATATATCTATATATATATCTGTATAGATTTTTTTTTTCCTCACCCAAATGTTTTCCATACTTGTCCTCATTAGGGTCACAGGTGAGCTCAAGCCTGTCACAGCTGATTTTTAGAAGTCAGGAAAATATTTTCGAAATGCTTTGCTACAATACTTTGTGCAGGAGTTTACTGTAGTTTTAGGTTTTCAACCTGTGAAAACACATTTGTTAAGGATATAACCGTACTCTTCAGCGCAGTTAGTGTAAGATGAAATACTACTGTATGTCTTTCCCAGCCACCGTGTACAGTCTGCTGAAGCATGTTTTTCCACTGCGCTAGGTTTCTTCATCCCGGGATTTCCCAAACTGCAGCGTTTCCAGGCCCACCATGAGCGGATACTCTCCAAAATGCTGCCGAAACTGAGGAAGCACCTGGTGAGTGGCAGCACATTCAGATCAATCGTCTGTTTGCCTCTTTCTCTCAGTGTCGGAGGACTAAGAGACATCTTACAAGGGCTTGCACCAGTGCTTTCAATTTTGTCAAGGTTACGATGTATATTCATTTGGACTGAAAATCTTAACTAGCCTTTTCTTCATGAACTCCTACTTGACAGGACAAGGAGCAGATGTCATGTGGGGTTTACACCACCAAGTGGTTCCTCCAGTGCTTTATTGACAGAGTGAGTGTTTTGCTTCGATTTCCCATTCCGTCCATTTTCCTATTCGCCTTGCCCTGTGCACAATTGCAGGGGTTCTGTAGGCCAGTGGTTCTCAACTGTTGTCTCCCTGTTTCCTATTGTTATGAAGTCAGGACCCAGTTTACTCAAAGAACAACATTTTTGGGGGTTTAAATAGGCTGTGAAAACACATGCATGTTACGTGATATTTTCAAAACGTTGTTTTAATTGATTTTGGTGTACCACCTAAAGCCTATTGTTAGCAATGACGTCCGCCAGCCAGAGGCAGAGTAGCACTGTATTTGTTTGCAGAGTAAAGCAGTCGCTAGAGCACAAGGAAGTAACATTGCTTGCCACTTTCCAAATATATTCCGTGTGGGAACTCAGGGAGCTCCACCCCTGAATATGCAACTTTTTTACTAGCTGTCTACGACTCACTCAAAATTGGCCTGCGGCCAACTTCTGGGACCCCGACTCATCAGTTGAGAACCATTGCTGTAACATATGCCAGCTGGTGACTTGGCTATGTGAACCATTACACCACCAATGGGCCCTGCTTTCCCTCAACTCATATCATATCAACCACCATGTCAAGGAATGAACATTTAAAAATCTTGAAAATTAGTACATTTTTTTAGACCATTTTTGACTGATGAAATAATTTGGTATAAATAATTTGTGGAAGTCCCTTCTCACAGCATATGAAATCATTGTTTTTAATCAGATGGTCTCTGTCCTGTCTTGTTACATAACAGAGCCCCTTCACCCTCACCCTACGCTTATGGGACATCTATATTCTGGAGGGGGAGAAGATGCTGACTGCCATGGCTTACACAACCCTCAAGTTACACAAGAGTGAGTATGAGACCCATTGGCTGGTCTTCCGTGACTTGTCTCTGTATCTGTTGGACACAGGATACACAGCTTTTTGAACTCAACATGGCTGCTGTTGCTATACTACCGCACGCAGCCCTCTGGTTGGCTGCCGCTTCACCGGATAGCTTACATAATACAAGTGGTTGCTGTGGAGAAAATTGGAAAGCAGATTTATCATTGATTGCTTCTACAGTTTGAGCATCCCCTTGACACAGTAGATACTTTAACAAACCTGTTGTGAAACTCCTACCTTGAACACAATAATGAATAGTTGTTGTTCTATAGTAGGGGTCACAATCTAATTTTTGTCGCATGCCACATTGTAGTTTGGTTTTCCCTTAGCGGTCCATTTTGGCTTTCAGAAAATATTGCCAACGTATGGTCACCTCATGTTATTGCAATATGCACAATTGCCCCCAAAATTGATTTGTTTATGTATCTCTACATAAAAATTATTGCAATATGCACAATTGCCCCCAAAATTGATTTGTTTATGTATCTGTACGGAAAAATTGAATTTCCCATCAGACATCACAGAAAATGTGGAAATATGACATTGACGCTTAATTTGCTTTAGTGGGCCACACCAAGTGATGCAGCGGAACGGATCTGGCACCTGCGCCTTGCGTTTGCTACCTGTGCTCTATAGTAATTGTCGTGGCTAAGTCCATCTTTCAGTCACTGAGGGTGACTAGACCTGAAGTGTTTGACGCACCTGGCGAAATAAGTCCGATGACAATATATTTTAATTACAAACGTTATTGATCTGACAAGTATAATCAAATGCTACAAAATAATTAACCCAACATTGGTCCAATAATGACAGTCCAAAAGCTGTATTGCTCCCTGTCTACTTGCACACCTGCCAACTGATAAATACCTCCATCTTAAATAGGTTTGTGAACTTGTGAATAAATACAACGGTGACATCTAACTTGGTGATTTACATATACATACATGAAATGGCTCCTCCCGTGATTTAATAATAATAATCATAATAAACATAATAATCATCATCATCATATTAAAAACTAATAATAATAATGCATCTGATTTGTAGCCCCACTTTAACTGAATGCAACATGTCCCTATTCTTTGTGTCCAATCAGAGCGTTTGCTGAAGTTTCAGTTGGAGGACCTGAGGGAGTTTCTTCAGGAGCAGCTGGCTGCTTCGTTCCTTCTTCCGGACGACATAGTGGTGGAGCAACTGCAGGCTGCCATGTCTGAGCTACGCAGTAAAAAATTGGACCAACCTCCTCCCGGTAGATTCTTTGCCCACCTTAATATATTAAGAAATGTAACCGTTTTCAGTACCGATCAGTGGGGAGATATCACTTTAAACACTCCCACACACCAGAGGATAAGTGATTAGGAAAATCTTTTGGAGCTGTCTGAGAATCAGGCATTTGCTGACTTAGATCGCAAGGGAGAGAAAAAGCCCCAAATTTGGCCGGATTATCATGATGCATGTCCCTTGCTTTACCTATAAATTGGGGTTAGAAAACCGTGGGGCCCTGTATGCATTTTTTTGGTGTCCTTGCTGACTTTTTTTTTCTTTTTTCTTTTTTTTTTTTTTAAAGCAAAGTCAGACGAGCTACCAAAGAAGCCTCTCGGTCAAGAGAGGCCGATTCTCCTACTCCCTCTGCAGCCTGGCTCGCCTCTCGAGGTGAAGAGTGATCAGCAGCCCTTCAGTCAGTCTAATAAGGAGAGCATCAGGCCGCAGGACATTAAGCCTCAGGATTCAAAAAGCCCCAGCAGATCGAGCACGCCCTCGTTGCGATTACCTGACCCAACGGCATTGCTCGCGAAAGCGACATTATCTACCTTGATGCCTGGTAGACCACCACCATTACCTCCCAAACCAGCAAAATCCTATGCCGTGGTAAATAATGTCAGTGTTGTGAAAGAACTTGTGCCTGAAAAAGCACAAGAAGGGAAAATGTGTGCCGCCCCAGATGCCCAGGAGGAGCCAATGAATTGGCCCCCACCTTATGAAGCGCCTCCTCTGGATGATTTTAGCATAAATACAGAGATATTGGACCTTCCAGATCTGCCACCTCCGCCATTGTTTTACTCTACAGAAGAGGAGCAAAATGTCAGTCCACTGGCCCAGCACCGCTCCTCTCCCCGATCTGTGGCAAATTTAAAGCCATGTCCAGATGTGCCCCCCAAGTCGCTGGTGTCCTCGCCCCGCGGCTTCACAACATCTTCCTCTCTCAAGCTCCCTCCCCCCAAACCCACCAAATTCCCCGTGTCCCTGTATGTTCCGGCGTCTTCAGCCAACAGGCGACCTTCCAACACCTCCCAGTATGATAACCTGTCCGAAGCAGATGACGACGATCGCTGCCCGGAGAGGTTGCTGGGCTCCACCCCCGAGGAGGTTCCTTTGAACAGAGACTACGACCCCGCTCACTATCCGCTGCCTCCACCTCCCATTTTCATCCCTCCATCAGCTTCTCCTCTGCCACCCTTGCGCTGCGCTCTTCCCAGTTTACCTCAGGAACCAGAATATGAAGGAGAGGACCACTGGGTGGAGGAATCCATCATCATCCCCCCTCCTCCGCCCAACTTTGCCGACAGACTGTCTCCCCAGCGCTGTCACAGAGCCACCTCGCCCACCGCTTACTCCAAGCCTTTCTCTCGAGGCCCCAGGGACCATTCTGCCTTCCCGGCACCACTCCTGTACACCAGGTCTCCCCCGGGTCACCCCAGTTTCTCGGGACAGTTGGGGATGCTGGAGGTTCAATCCAGCCCAGACTTTTGCAGGGTCCCTCCTGCTCGACAGCAGCTTCCAAAGTCGATCACCTTTTGAAGTGGAATTCACATATTGACTGATCATACCAGTTTAAAGCATTTGACTTAAAAGGCCAGTAGGTATTCAGTGGGCCTCCATGACAAGTCGCTTGAGCATTTATCACATATTGTACGAGTGCACTGAAGTTTCCATGGACTACTACACCCTCTGTCCTCACTCGTAAGACAATTCAGTGCATTATAGTACAATGTCTTGCTTGTGATGTTTTTACACCACTGAATAATATTTCTGTGCACTAGTGAAACAACTGGGATGCATCAGTAGAGCAACCATTTAATTAGTAACATTTTTCCCCACTACTGTCTGACATATCCGCGCACTTGAAGAACAAATACAGCACACCAGTAGAATGACTGTTTTAATAGGAACACACTTTAATTCCTGTTTCACATTAGCGCACACTAGTAGATCAACTATGGCACAAAAGTAGATCAGTCACATTACTAGTGAGGCAGAACTGCACAACTTAATATGTGCGCGCTCTTAGCTCCACTTGTGAAGCGCTAAATATTCACTCAAGAATTTTATATTGTCACTAGTAGCACACAGTTGTTAACCAGTGCGCAGTTTTGCCCCACTACTAACATGTAGTTGTTCTATTAGCGTGCCCCATTCATTCTACAAGTGTGCAGTAATGTCACACAGTAGTGGAAAATATGTTGTCTTCCTCTTAAGGAGACAGCACACAAGTGGGACATTGAATAAATGCTCGAACAGCTTGCCATAGTGGCTCCAAGGGTGTTTGTGTTTTGTTATCAGTATGCCCATATTTCTACGACGAAACCTTTTTTTTAGAAGGTCTTTTTTTAATTTTGTACTTAAAACTGCTGTTTGCCTTACCATGCATATTGCTCGTGCATTAACGTACCTGCATTTTGTTCTTGTCATTGAATACCTTATCAACAGGCACCAAGCAGTGATTACACAGTTGTTACCATTTGTTGTTATTGTTGTTGTTGTAATTTTATTGGTGACAGTGTGTCAATTAGTCATCCCACATTCTGTAAAATGAAGTAAAATGCAAACACAGTATGTCATGAAGTAGAAAATGATCGCTGATAAACATCTCCCCCTAGTGGTAGTCTTTTTGTCTGTTACATTTTGTATTGCATGTTCAGGGATGATGATTATAAAATGACATGCCGTATGGGCATAGAGTTATTTTTCTTTAGGCATTTCAGAGATCCTTGTGAGAATATAAAGACATATTTAATATATTTTGTGTCTATGCATAGTCTGAGGTTAGGTAATTTTAAAGCTGTGGTAATGGCTCATTGCAAATGTTCTGGAGATGTTACTATAATTTGAAAGGCATTCAGAGATTGAAGTGGAGCCCACTATTTATCAGGGTTGATCCTAAATCCCACAATGTATACTGTACGTTATTGCTGTAAATATTGTATTGCCTGTTAAATTAATTGACATATCAAAAAAATATCTAAGTGAGAGCTTTTTTTTTTTAAATGATCCACAAACAGCAAAAAGATCTGCCCTTCTTTGCTGGTGCTAAACTGGTTTCAATGTTTTCACTACTATGCAGCATATTCAACAATTCTGTATTCTTCAAGACTTGCAATATGGAACTTTACATGGTTGTACAGTATTACAATCCATTGTGGAGGATAGCTGACCACAGCCCAAATGGAGGCTACATGTTCATCGCCAGTATTTGTCACTGTCCAGTGAAAAGTGCTGTACTTTAGCTTTGTGTTTTATTTTCATTTTCTGACCAATGAAAAATTGTATCCATAAATTTTCTTTATGGGTCATCTTGATGAAGGTTGCTGAAGCTGAAGCCGAGCCCAGCTGACATCTGCTTAAAGGCAGATAACCTCTTGGACTGGTGGTCACCAGTCAAACACAGAGACATTAACATTCATAGTCACTCATTGGGAATTTGGCGATGTACAGTCGCTTTTTGTTAGGCAGCAATAAGTTTTAGAAACAAATAGTGCACATTTTCTTCCTTCTCACTCAGGCACCTGGGTGATTATTTGGTTTATTGCACTCCCACAAACATGTACATGTTAATGTCCTTCTGTTTATGGCCCAGCTGTGCAATGAGCAAGTTCTGTTCAATAATTAAAAAAAAACAAAAAAACAAAACTGAAATACCTTGGTTGCACTTCACCCAATGACTTCTTGTCCCACTGCCACGTTTATGAGGTTGGGAAAAAAAAAATCACATCAAACTTATAATTCCTTGAAAATGATTCTAAGCAGAAATAGTGTTTTTGCAGTCACTGTAAATATGCATAGCTTCATGTAAAATGTAACATGACAATTTCTATCACAAAATATTTCCACGTGTTTCGTATAAATATAGAATTTGTAGAAATTTGTGATTGAAGGCCAACAAGTAACAAGCCACTCCCCGACTGATCAATGCAGCCACTTTCACTGAAATACAATACAATCACTGTCCTTCATATTCTCAGCTGACTCATGAGGTTAGTGAGTGAGCTGATGCTCTCCTTCAGCTTAGAGTCTTCCTCCTTCCCCAGTGACACACCAGCCAGGCGCATGGACCCGCTCGACCCCAGAAGGCACGGTAAGCTGAAGAACACCTCTGCTCCTATGCCGCTCCAGCCCTTAGACAAACAGTGCACATGAATCGCCCATTAAATAGCTCTCATTTGAACATACTTAAGATGTTAAGCACACATTGTGGGCCTAAATATAAAATATTTGCACATTTAACTCTCAAAAATACTCCCGGGTGAGGTGTTCCGGGCATGTCCCACCAGCAGGAGGCTTCAGGGATGACCCAAGACACATTGGAGAGACTATGTCTCCTGGCTGGCCAGGGAATGCTTGGGATCCCCTGGGAAGAGCTGGAAGAAGTGGCTGGGGAGAAGCTAAATGCTAAAGCTAATGCTAATGCCCCCACGACCCGGATAAGCCATAGAGAATATATGATGAAATTGTATGATATCTTAACATTCCACTTTTTTTTTTTTTTTTTTAAATAAGCAACATTAACATTGGGTAATAATCAAATTCATTTACAATTTTAAATTTAATGTGACAAGTTGAACTTTTTGATCTGTATTTTTTTTTTTTTTAATGATGTCACATTTAAATTACGGTAGATTATTTTTACTTCCAAAATTTTTACTTAATGTGTTTAACTTCGTTATTAGAATATATAACGGAACAATGAATAACGCAACAGGCCACAAACGGCCACCAGCACAGCATGGACACCCCTGCTCGAGGAAGGTTAATGTGTGCACCCTTTTACCCCATAAAAGGGAACAGAGACGATTATAAAACAAAAAGATTTCTCAGTTTTGGTGCTGGTGGTGACAGGCACAGGTGTGTTTTTAGCATAATGTGTCACCTGGGCAAGAGTGGAGATGGAGTGGACTTTCTTCGTATCTGTTAGGATGCTGTTTGTGATGTCAGCAATAGATAAACCGACAGACCATGAACGCTGACCTCGATTCTTCATGATATCAAAAGCTCTGGAGGAACACAACACAGGCATGTCAATTATTCAACTATTTTCAAAAGTCCTTTCTTGAATACTGTGCTGGAATGAAATTAATAACTGAGGATCTAACCTGCTGAGCAGTGGTTTGGTGGACTCCGATCCTGGGATTTCCAGCCCCTTTTTGGAGCCTGGCTCATTGTTACTCATGACAGGGACTGTGTGACAATGTGCTGATACGTTAGTTTCAATGAGAAGCAGGACAAAACTAGCAGGTAGAGCAGCATAGCTGGTTAAGTCAATACAAGTGAACTCACGCCAACAATCAAAAGCATGCAAACAGCTCACTGAGTGTTTCACATTCACCTTTATTGTCCGAGTGCTCTCCAATGACCCAGGCTTGTTTGTGAGTATTCAAGGAAATATCCAGAATGTGACCGAGACGCTCAGAGTCCAGATTACAGCCTGCCCCGATGACTTGTGTTGGCGGGAGGCCGCTCTGTCTCCATGCAATGTGGGTCATCACGTCCACTGGAGAGAAGGTTGAAAGACAACAGGATGACATTTTGGACAGTTCTCAATCTATTCAATTAATTAGGCCTTTCGTTCACCCTTAATTAAAGAATATGTTTATTTCCATAGTTGTTGTTTGCAGTGGTGTAGAACAGTACTACCTCATCAAGAGAGCTGTACCAAATATTCTTACGGCGATACATTCTTACACATCTCTTAGTTTGTACAACTACAGGAAATATGAGAACAGTCTGAGCATGACTGGGCCACCTGTGCACAAAGCAAGGTCCTTTAAAGGAAATGTGTCAGAAGAGTTTGCTGTGGAAGAGCTTGTACAGATCCCTGACCTCAACCCAATCGAGCACCTCTGAGATGAACTACAACTGTCCCTCTCATCCTAACATCAGTAAACTCCAAGCACACAAACTGCCCTGTACTGCACTTTCTTGCTCAAGAGCAGTAGATGTAAGAATTTCCTAATGTCCCAATACCATTGTCGACAACAGCCAGCGGGTGATCCACTCACCTGGCTGAGAAGCGATGATCATGACTGCGCTGGGGTTGAGATGCGCCAACTTTGGAATGATCCCTCTGAACAAGTCGACGTTTGTTTGGACTACGCTTACGTACGACTGATCGCCGCTCCACGCGTTGGCGGTCACCACGATGACCCTGGAGCCCTTGGAGGCAGACAAATCTGACAAGAGTGGAGTCAAAATGTCAAAAACGGCTGCTGTGTTGCAGACGGAAAGCACCAAGCAGATGAAGAATGTGGGGAATTCCTTGCCAGGACAATTCCTCGATGTAAATGGAATCTAATCAAGTTATTTAGTGCAGGGGTATTTTGTGCTCAAGGTCCAAACTGACTTTGAAAACACAGATACTTCAGGTCATTTGTACATGTAGTAAAAGGAAAAACTTTATAAAGTATATTATTTTTATGAATGAATAATAGGATTCTTGATCATGTATATAATTGGTGAGGCAAATTAAAGAACAGAGTTTGCCTCCCCTTGGTTTAGCGTGTACATTTTGTGTGGCTGCGTGAAAAACTACATACCTCTGGAAACTTCCACCTTTGGCAGCCTGAATATCTCCAGATCTGTGCTGCCACCCTTAGTGGAACTCTCAGCAACATCAATGAAGACAAGTTTATCAACTTTACACTGCAGGAGAACAGAAGAAGGGATGAACTGTCTCTTTGAATCAATTCAAATGTATGACAGGAAGGACGGTGACTGCGCAGAACTCCTCGTCATCAGTAAACCATTATGACCTCATAGAACCACGATTCGTTGGGCTTATGCAAACCTCTGGACTGTTGACAAAAAGTTGTCGAAAGGTTTGCTGCAGTCTTCTTTCAGCATCATGGAAGATATGACATTAAGCCCCTTAGGCATAGTTTCATTTGTAATGATTAACAATTGATTTTTTTTCTATTTTACTGTGACAACTCATCCATTTTAAGATGCTGTAGAGTAGACACTGTCACTAACTTCTCCCTTTCTCCCCCCTTGTAGCTGGCATTGTTAGAATAGTTTGGGAATTTTCATTATAGTTACGTTTGACTTATTTTTTTCATTTGTTTTTTTTTAGTTTTGATTAGCTTTCAGAGCAAGTTTGTTTTATTTTATTAGGTTTTTTGGGGGAATGGGGGGGTCTTTTTTTCAGTTTTGCTATACAGCATTTTTTATAAATGTGTATTTCTTGTGGGCAAGACTTAAAACAAAATCACAGTACGTATTGTGTGTTCAAATGCAAAAATATATACTCTAAAACATTTACATCAAAACAACCATTTTCTATTCAAATACATGACTGGTTAACAGTCTTTGACTTTGAAGTACATTAAGTGGGAAGTTCAAAAAGGGGGAACATAATGTACAAATGCCAGACTTGAAAACCAGAGAAGAGATTGAAACCCAGAAACGTGCTAACATCATTCTCTACCATTGTGACTTAAATGTCGATAATAAATTTATATATGTGGCCCTTTATCTTGATCAGCGCCAAAATGTAACGGTCCTTCTTCGGCTTATACAGCTTTGGGAAAATGATGTTTTGTGTACTTCTAATGGTGTTTGTGCGTACACTTTTTTGCATGGTACTTAATTAACTTGAAAACCTTTGCCAAAATGCTCATCACTGCAGCCATTCCTAAATCCCCTCCTCCGATAACAGAGACTTTGTGGACCGGCTGATCGTGGTGTCTGACAGTACCTGAAATTGAAAAAAGGAAAGGGCTGTTGAATGGCAAGTGGTTGGCATGAACAGAACAGTTTCAAGTGACGTACTTTCATTGATCCGGAGATTATTGACAAATGCCAGGAGCTCCTGTGGATCTTTCTGTCCTGTGATGGTAGAGGACAGGGGGGGATCCTCTTGAAACTTGGAAATCATCTCCTCCAGAAGCTGTATTACTGATGACTTGGGCTGCATCGGGGAAAGAGCTCATGAGGTCAAGTCACGCTGAACATTTATAGACAAGAACAACATACGTGATCCCAGTTGTGCAACATGGGCAGATAGATGCGTCCTCGGGCGTCCACGTGTTTGCCCTCCCTGATCATCATGTCTGATGTGGGCCTTAGGAGGCAAATGGGAGGTGTGACTGGGAAAGAGTCCATCAGCCACAGCTGGATGGGGAAGTTGTAGGAGCGTCCTAGGAGAAGATATGACATTGATGTGCTTCATCACACGACAAGCAACCAGAGGCTCTCAAATATAAATCTTACCTTCATACTTGACTGGAAGGTTGCCATTTAATTTGAGGAGCTCTTTCTGGGAGCCATCGTTGAATGCTACATTATGGAACAAAGGTTAGTGGGACATTGCAGTTGCTGTGTACATGTGTGTGTGTGAGAGAGAGTAGTGCACATGCAGAAAACTCACTATATCTGCCTACAGTAGGGATCATCCCAGGAAAGGTGCTCTCAATTTTGTCCAACTCTTCGAGAGCAACATCATGGAACTTGTACTGAAGTAGACACATGTGCAGATAGAATCAATTCAATTGTTTCTTCTTCCTATTGGCTGTTATCAGATTGAATCTTGTTTGTTTTGGCGCTTGTGTGAGATTCCTTTGGCCTGGCTCAGGTGAGGCAGCATGGCTAGGGTGATAGAGCGGTTGTTTCTCAATCCAAAAGTTGAGAGTTGCATCCCGGGGCACCTGTGACCTTGAGCAAGATTGTCTGGAGTGTACCTGCCTTTTGCCTAGAATCAGCTGTAGAGGTGTGCCTCCTTAAAGGCTGAAGAACCACTTAGTCCCCTCCTGATTTCTGTGTTGTTTGCATATTTATCACAAACAAAGTTTTCAGTTAATCTCAAACCAATTTTAATGTCACACAGAGACAACCCAAGGAAATACAAAATGCAGTTTCTAAATGCCAATTTAATTTGAGGCCTGAAAAAAAAATCAAAACCTACTCTTCCCTCTGTGAAAAAGTAATTGCTCCCTGAACCTATTAATGAGTTGTGCCACTCTTGACAGCAATAAGTGAAATCAAGCGTTTGTGATCATTGGTGATGAGTCTTTCACATCGCTGTGGAGGAATTTTGGCCCACTCTTCTTCACAGAATTGCTTCTACTCCGCCATACTGGAGGGTTTTCTCGCATGAACTGTCCGTTTAAGGTCACACCACAGCATCTCAATTGGAGTAAAATCTGGACTTTGACTTGGCCACTCCAAAACCTTTTTTTGTTTTTGAGTCATTCAGAGATGGACTTGCTGGTACGTTTGGGATCATTGTCCTGCTGCAAGATCTAAGAGCACTTGCATTTGAAGGTGCAAACTGATGATCAGACTTTCTCCTTCAGGATTTTCCGGGAGACAGCAGAATTCATTGTCCCATCAATCAATAACTTCTTTTTTCTAATTTCTTCTTGAACTTCTTTGGATCGCGGCATGATGAGTTTGTTTCTTAAGATCTTGTAGCTAACTTCACTTTGTCTGACAGATTCTATTTACGTGATTTTTTGATTCAACAAATGTGGTGCAGGGTGTTGCCTTTGAAATTGAACTAAACTGTCGTTAGTCACAGTTACTTTGTGATTTTCAAAGGGTGGGTTACTTTTTCATATACAGGGAGCTAGTTTTGGATTTTTTTGGTGCCTTAATCAATTAAATTGGCATTTAGAAACGACATTTTTGGATTTCCTTGGGTTGTCTCTGTGATATTAAAACTGATTTGATGAATGAAACCTTTGTGTGTGATAAATATACAAACAACACAGAAATCAGGAAGGTGCTAAATACTTTTTCACAGCACTGTATTTAGGATGGATGGATGAGTGGGTGGATGGATAGATAGCCAGATATTTTTTAAGCTCTACAAACGTGTGAAAATGAGTTTAGCTATTTTTATGTGCCGTAATTTAGTACGAGTGTACTAGATGACCAACTACAGGACCACCTTCGTTTGCATTCAAGTGAATGTTAGACGAATCAGGTATTGTTAAATCTTCTTGGCAAATCTAACGCAGAATACATAAAATACGTTCAGTTTTCAAAATGATCCAACGCTTCCGTGTTAATTTAGGAAAGACTGAGTCACGGAACTGGTTGTGCCAGTTGACAGCTGACAGCGGTAAACTTATGTGAGGAGGCTGTGCTTGCCGGCCGGCAATTCACATCGTAGGTTATAGTTTTACTATCAAAAGTCCCATATTTTGGAGGGCGTTTATGACTCACCTTGGATATGACCCGCTGTATTTTCTCCGATCGGAGGTCCATCTATGGAATGATTTCGTTTACAGAGAGCTCTCTCTCGGTTCTCGCTTCCTGATAAACTTCACTAACTTCCGCAAACTTCCTAGAGTAGCTAAGGTAATATCAAGCACCTCCCCTCTCCTAGTCAAGTACGGTGGCTCGTTACGAACACATTGATCTTGCTTCTTGACATTTATTGCGAATAAAGTTAGGAAAATGTTTGCTATAAATATGTCGGCTCTGGACTTCTTGTGTTGACTTTAAATGTCCACCCCGCTTTTGCATAGGTAAGTTTGTAGATACATTGTTTTTTTTATCATGTTTTGACAACAGACATAACATTACCCCAATTTCGTGACAGTCTGAACGTACTCCATTTTCTCACATCAATGTCTTCATACTCCAGTCATCTATTTAACCAGCACTTGAATATTGTAAAGGTCTTTGGTTTAGCTGGAACACATCCCAGTTGACATTGGGATAGACTCGGGGTACACTCTTAACTGATTACCATGCAGTCAATCACAGGGCACACAAAGCGAAACCACCGTTGACACCAAAATTCACAAATACGAACAATTATGGAATCTTTAAATTAACACATTATGCATATTTTTGGACCTGTTTATCACTAGTCCACCTCGTCTTTACACATCAAATTTTGAGAAGACGCGACTCTTCAAGCCCCACCTGTGTCGAAATCTTTTACAAAGAAACAACGTTACACGTTTTGTGTATTAACAATCCAAATTATGTGAAATACGGTCGATGATTCAAAAAGAGGTATCACAGGCATTGTATGCCAGCTTTCAACAAAAACACTTTCACGCTCAAATGTTACTTTTTAAACAATTTCTTCTTTTTTTTAAATGACTAACTTTTGATGGAAGGAAATAAATAATGGGGAGAAATAAGGGGGGAAATGCCACATGTATCTAACACCACAGACATCTGTGCATATTTTGCTTTTACAAGTTATTTCTTGATCGACTTTAACCAAAATCATGTATCCTTCAAGGTCCTTTTCTATTTCAATGTCATGATCACTTCTTTCAGTGTTGGTAAAAACAAGAGGAGAAAAGTGAAAATAACGGTGTGCCAGTGTGCTTTACATGAAGTAATATCAAAAGCATTGTCCTATTGCCAGGCGACTGGAGTCTTTCTTGTCCATTACAATAATTTCAAGTGATTCAGTTCATTTTTTTCCTCTTGGCATTCATCCTTTTCATCTCCTCTTGCTCCTTTCGCTCCTCCTCCAAATCTTCTTGCACAGCCAATTTTAGACTAAGACAGGCAAGACAAAAAAAATGACAGTCAGTAAAGGCAGCTCAAACGATGAAAAATGCCTGAAACTGCAAAATCAAGGTAATCCATTTAGTTACCTCTTTGCTTCTTCTTTCTGCATATCTCGCCAGCTGCTCTCCATGAATTTGAGAGCATAATCACTTTCCTCTTTGTATCTGTGTGGGATAGTTTAAAAAGAAAAAAAAAACGAATAAACATAAGCATACAATCATTCACATGATAGAATAATACAGAAGGAGATTAGCAACCCATACTTGGTTCGGTCATAGCCAAAGATTTCCTTGATGTGTTTGGAAACCTCTGCCTGCTCATCATCTCCATCATCGATAAAGTCATCCATTTCGGAATCATACTCGTCTTCCTCTTCATATTTTCTCTTGTATGCTATAGTGATGGGTGGTAGGGTTGTACCTAGATAATAGATGAAGAAAAAGGAATCAAGTACAGATGTTATACCAAAGTAGTGTTTACTGATCGAACTTGAAATGTATTGCCGGCGAGAACATACTGCATCTCACCGGGCATCCAATTAATTGTACAAATTCTCTATACTTGCAGTTGGACTATCGATTATTTGTAGTTTTTTAAATTTTTTAATAGCTTTCATAACTCAAAGTGCGACCTTGATTACACATATACAATGATTAATCAAATAATTGACAGCTAATCAATTCTTAAATTCATCGATAATTACATTGGATTAATGGCTTAGAAACTTTAATTTAAAATTGTCCAGATCCTCAAAATTTCCGCCTCTCAACAGTAAATATTCTCGGATTTCCTCCATTTGCCCTCCATGAAAGCAGATTTGTTATCTTTGGATTGATTTAAAATAAAACATTTACAAACAATGTGCTTTTATTTTGATCAACATTTTGGCCTATTTGATGACATGTTGCAGATCAAGTTAGTAACCGAATCATAATCAATTTACATTTGTAAATTTTCTGCACTGCCAGAAAAAAAAAAGTTGAAAACAAATTTAAAAAACCCTAATATTTACCACTTACCAATGCAAAATGAATGATAACTACAGTCAGGTCTTGTTTATATTTTACCTGGTGGTCTGTTCAAAGGTCTGGTTGGCCCTTCTGGTCTGCGGCACATGCCAGGTCTTTGTGATATGCCTGGCCGAGGGGGAAAACCTGGTCTGGCTCCGCTGACATTTTTGGATGAGATGGTCTCAGACACCACAGTGCACTTGGGTCTCCCAGGTCCTGATCCAAAGCTGCCTGAGGGTTGCGGTCCTCCGCCAGGAGCTCGACCTGGTCTGATGGCTGGTCCTCCGCTAGAGGTTCGACCCTGTCCAAAACCCGGTGGCCGGCCCCCTCTACCAGCAAGGTGAGGCTGTAAGCCACGCCCACTAGCCTTTGGCTGCGGTGTTACCCCTGGCCTTGCCTGAGGTTGGTTCCCTTCTTTAGGACGGCCACTTGACGAAGGTCTGACCGTGGAATGACCACTTGATTTTACTGCAGGACTGCTTGCACACCTCAGTGGTGCTCCCGTTCCGAAAACTGGACGCTCCTGCTTTGCTGAGCTACCCTGACTAGGTCTGTTTTTTTGTGGGTTGCTATTTGAAGGCTTAAGTTCTCTGACAGATGTAGCATGAGGCTTGGACTGAGGCATGCCTGAAGGTCTTCCTTGAACAGATAAGGTGCTGTCTTTTTTTAATCGAAGGTCACTGGAAATGCTAGATGCATGACAAGATGAAGGCTTAGGGACCCCCTTTTTGGCTGGAACCTGAGAAGTGGCTTTCGAAGTAATTGGGATCTTGGGTCTTTCTCTTTCTCTCTCACCACTGGTGACCTTTGAAGGTGTTGCTACAGACTTTTTCACTGTCCCATTGGACTGATTTGGCCTTTCTGATAAACTCCTTGACGGGTTATAATTCTTTGTCTCTTTTTCAGACACATTTTTTCTCACGGTATTAGAACTAGACTGAGGCTTGTGTTCTCTCTCTATCTTCACATTTTTGTTGCGGCTCTTTGCTCTGCGTTCCATCTCGAGCTCCTTTAACTCTTCGGCTGTGCGGAGCTTTTCTTCCTTCACCACTTTTGCTTTTAGCTCGACCGGCTCATACTGCTTCTTCTCAGCCAATTTGAGCAAGTCTGCAAAGTTCATGCTTGATGCGGCAGGCTTGGGAGCACCGCTTGGTTTTTTAGGGGAAGCTCTGGAGCCACTACTGCTTCCACCAAAACAGTCTTTGCCGGGTCTTAGAGGTTCTGGATCTTGATCGGGCTCAGAATCTGTCTGCTCATACTCATAATTGTCTTCATCATCCTCTGGGTTAACTGAGTAATTTCTAAATTTTTCTTCACTCTCTTTTTTTTCCCTCTCAATTTCCTGCTTTGACCTCCTCTTCTTTGGAACATCCACCACTGGGATGCCGTTGTAACCTCTGAAATTGTCCTTCGTTCTGGAAGCCATGGCTCTTGCTTTACGATCAGACTTCAGCTCAACCCTTTTTGCCAGAAGCTCCTCCTTCTGTTTCTTCAATTCATTTTCTGAAAACATACATAAATATAATCATTAAAACAATTCACAGTGTATGCAAAACAACTTGCATTTCTTACCTTTGATTCTGGCCTCATTTTGTCGCTTCTTCAGGAGTGCCTGCACAGCAGCAGGATTTACCCCTTTTGATTTCGGGTCTCTTTTAGGGGGACCAGCTTGTAAACTATACCTTTTCTGTTGAGAAAAAGAGGATAACAAAAAATAATTAGAAAGAATCTTCTCCGGTCAACATCTGACACGGAAACAGGCTAATGGCTGAAGTCAAGTGAAAGTCAGCATTGTGAATATTTTATTCTTATCCCATAAGTTCAGTCCAAACCTAAATTAAGTTACAAGGTTTTTTTGTACAGCTAAGAAATCCTCCAGAATAGTCGCTGAATCAACAACTCTACTACTCAAAACTTGCATACAATATTAAGAGCCTTTTTATTATCCCCAAAACAACAGAAAGAAAGCTCATCGGCCCAAAAGGGATGTCTAACTCTTGTTCATCACACACTCTGAGTTAAGGTTGGTCCAGTTACAACTTTAAAATTTGAAACGTTACATGATGGCCCCTGCTTTCAGTTATTATGAAGTTGAACGCTAACCTGCAAATTGATGGATGACATCAGGAGCGGGAGTAGTGACAGACACATATTCAAGTACAATGGGACTTAACAGTACAAACGCTCCACGTGACGTACAGTTTGAAATACGACCAAAATCTTTGGTGGAAAATATGCCCTACAGTTGTTGTAAAACAGGTTATGTCGAAAAATAAGATGCACATGGAGGATTAGTAATGCTGTTTAATTTTCTTTATTGTTTTTAGCTTGAGAATAGACTGTCTAGGGTCTGTTTATGCGTGCATGACAATAAATTGCGTGAATATTACTTCGTCGAGTAAGGACATGAGTGACATCATGGGGCGGTGTATTACGTATGTACATCTGTACTTAACGCAGTTAATGAACTTAATGTTCTTGATTCAGTTTCACTTGTATTAGTTATAACCTGCTGAGACAACGGTGGCAATTGAATACATGATATTTTAATCGGCGTATTCACAGTAACCATATACGTGCTCAGACAAGTGAACGTTCACAAGTTTGCTAATGCTCCATTCGGAGACTCATTGACAGCCAAGATGAGGTGGCATTTGTGTGCCCACGCGATCGGACACGAAAGCCTACTTTTCTCGAAATTCAACACAAGATCTTTGCTCATTTCACTTACCTGTACACTGCCGACGCCCTGATTTTGAGTGGCGATTGACAGCACGTTGTCAAAGTCCATCATTTTAGCAGCATATAGTATCAGCTGTCTTTTTCGATGGGCAAAACTCCAGCACTGGGGAGATTGATGTTTGCGTTCCCAACAGCTCACACAGCTGTCACACTGGATTTGGCGTGATAGACGTAAACGCTACGTATGTCTTATTAGAAATTTATTTAGTCAACTTTGTGGCAAACAGTGATGTGCAAAACTACTTTGCGTCCCGAGCCTAGGCTAGCAATGAGAAGCAAAGTTAGCCAAGCCTACGTCAGGGGTAACCAAGAAGCTTTGGATGTGAGCACGCCGATACATAAGACTATTGGAAGCACTTCAGTCAAATTCAGTAATTCTGAAATAAAACATAAATAACTCAAAACACATTAGGCGACTTGTGTTTGGTCGACGATTGCGACGGGAAATATCAAAGAACTCGAAGGCAAGTCAGCGGAAATGACATGTTCAAGGAGACCTACTTCCGTGTTTGAAATCGCCATGAATTCGAAAAATAACGGGATGTCATTTCAATTACATTAATTTTTTATTTTCAAAATTCAGTGTTACAAGGGCAGTGTTAAAAAACGAACGAGATCTTAGAATTAATAGTTGAACAGTTAAGCAAGTTAAAAAGCACTTCCGCCTATAGCCTTGACATGTCTCTACCACTCGAGGGCGCTATAACATTAAGCATACGCCATTCTCGGTACCTGGAATTCCCCAGTCCTGGTTCTCTTCTGCCTACTCCTCTTCTTCCCCCTTTTGCCTCACATATTCTATTCATTTTAGGTACCATGTAAAAGCAATGAATCCCAAAATTCTTCGCAAAATATATCCTGCAAGGTCGGCCATCTCTAGACTTTTGGACGTTCTTGTATATTTTGTGGGTATGTAATTTAAACTATAAATATTGACTTCCGCATGTCGCAAATCATTTTCTTTCATTTAGACTGTTATTCAATGCCAAACAAAAACGAATAAATAAAAAACTGGCTTCAAAACAAACTTTTCTTGTTATAATTTTTATTCAACTCAATTTATAAATCCATAGCATTGGTTTGAAATAGAAAGAAGAAATCTATAGATAATTATATGAAGATAGCTACTGAGCTTCTTAACATTATTTATTTATTTATTTCATTTGGGAAGATAAGCGATTTATTTAATGTAGTGATACAATAAGATGAATGTGTTTATTAGTTACTGTGACTGTGTGAGTGTGTGTTTACCCCGGTAAAGAAAATAGATTGATGCACCTATCTGAATTTATTTTCCTATACCCTTGCAAAGGGTTGAATTACTTAATGACAAAGTGCTTTTAAATCCATAACTCCAGTATCTGATTCTCTCATCCTCACAATGGTCAAAGTTCCCTAGAAACAAAGTTGAGTTTCGATGTCTCCCTCTAGTGGCACTATTATGCTATTCCCCATTCAAACGTCATACCGTACAGCTGAACGTATTAAGTGTATTTTATTTAATACTATATTGATACGTGTACAACTTGACGAGTTTCATATTTTTGAATAGTCTCTCATCTGAAACTATTTGACTAGCAGATTCTAATAAAACATAAGTATATGCAACACATTATGCTAACTGTGTCATTCATGACATGTTCCATTTTAACGTACATTTTTATGTATATCAGCAAATGCATGGAATACTGCGCTGTGTTAAAGTATTGGTGTGTTATAAGAGCCTCGACATATCATATTGTGTTGATTAGAATACTGAGATTTGCCGTTTTTATAATTATTTTTTTACTGACACATATTAAATAGAGTAGCACGTTGATATCGGGGTAATATTTACGAGACAATAATGACGAAATCAATAGATACTGCAGACGAATGCAGCCATCAAGCTCAAGTACTCCGTCGATTGTAAATAAAAGGCCATCTGCTCCCAGATGTAAACATGAGATTGGTCCTTCCCATCTAGGCGTCACTTACATTTATCCCGCCTACTAAGAGTACAGCGTCCCCTGCTATTGGTCAACAGAGACAAGCCGCTCACCTCCTAGGATGTCTGCCTGCCCCTGGGAGAGAGGACAAAAACAATCGGCATCTCTCTCGCTGAAGAACATAAACAAGAGGACATAACCAAAATCTCCCGACATAACATCCCCACTAACGTCCTCGACATGGTTTCCCCGGTCACTGTGGTGAGTCCTACGTTCAAACTAGCGTTGACACAACGATCGGTGTCGATGGTGATTGCTAGTTTGATTAGCACAATCGTCCCGTAACAGATCGCCGCATGCTTATCAACGCTTGTATGTGTTGTCATTGTCGAGTCACCGGTAAAACATACGTATTTTTGCGCCATCACCCTCCATGCCATATCATACATGGATCCGTCCGAGGCCACAACGTGATCTCTTTCGGGGACAATGTAATTAACAGTTTATGGTACAGTTTATCGTTACAATATTATTCTTCCAGCACATCAACCAGGTTGTGTATCTCGTCGTTTCCCTTTTGTATACGATGACATACAACGGTGTTGTTTTAAACGATATTTGCGTCAACGCTATTTGGCAAGTTCCAACAGCAAGTGTAAAATCGAGCCATTTCTACAAATATCCAAAGGCCGCCACCAACTAAAGGGAAAAAGTCCCGTGACGACCTTTTGTGTGTGTCTGTGTTTGTGAGTGTGTTTTCTTTCTTGCGCTTCCAATGACGTTTGTGCCATACGTAACTATGTTTTTGTGTCTAATAATGCAGCAGCTGTACGGACTAGTGAGCATTGTTTTGTTTTCTATAGCGTAGCCGTAGCGTACTAATGCCTTAACATGTTGCCCCAAGTGAGGGAAGATGATCATTTTACCCAATTCAATTCAACTTGTCCCCAACATCGCCAAATGAGCAGCGATATGAAAGGCTACAGTTCCTTTGCAGGGGCCATTATAGGATGGATGGTGTGTCGTAACTTGGCCCCTTGCAAGTAAACCGTCATGTGAAGCCTGTGATTACTGTGAGGGCAGCCTGTGTGAAGGAATGCGTGCCAGGCAGACTTGTTCCCATAGCGACGGTGATGCTGCCCAGGCAGTGTGAATTTGTTAAATTAATTTAGACCCAGCCATAGCCCCAGGATTTCAATGAGATGGAAAATAGAGTTATGCGCTGTCTGAAATAGAGGCACCGGCTCAAGTTCACCTAAGGACAACGCTTTATGTCAAGACAGCACAAGAGTAAAAGTACTGGCAATCACTTACCACAATATTCTGTATTTACAAAGCACCATTCTTTAAAAAACGTAAACTAGGTATACAAGCGGTTGTTGGCCATGCATTTGGTACCTTGGCCTTCAGTGGGAACTTAACTTAATCCACCTCTTAATACCGCCAGTATCAGGTTGCAGTTATAGAAACCATCAAAACTATATGAAGCATAATGTAACACACCGCCTCGGAGCAGTTCAGTTTCTGGAAGCAATACAGCCAAGATAAATAGTACAAAATAGGGAGTAAATGAATGCAGTTTCATGAAACAATCACTAGAATTTAGGTTGTAAATGTACCTGTAGGTAAGTGTTTCTGATAGTGTTTGCAGCAGAGACAGACCCCCACTAACACCAAGTTAAAAATACTGCTGAGTTCAAAGTTTTGTGTCACCTCACAAGTTAGCCATATTGTGATGGCTTATGATCCACAGGTGTCAAACTCTGAGCCTCGAGGGCCACTATCCTGCAGGTTTTAGAAACCCCCCCCCACCCCTCCGCAGTTCACCCGATTCAACCGATCAGATCGTTATCAGACACCTACAGAGCTTGAGAGGACAAAAACAATCGGCATCTCTCTCGCTGAAGAACATAAACAAGAGGACATAACCAAAATCTCCCGACATAACATCCCCACTAACGTCCTCGACATGGTTTCCCCGGTCACTGTGGTGAGTCCTACGTTCAAACTAGCGTTGACACAACGATCGGTGTCGATGGTGATTGCTAGTTTGATTAGCACAATCGTCCCGTAACAGATCGCCGCATGCTTATCAACGCTTGTATGTGTTGTCATTGTCGAGTCACCGGTAAAACATACGTATTTTTGCGCCATCACCCTCCATGCCATATCATACATGGATCCGTCCGAGGCCACAACGTGATCTCTTTCGGGGACAATGTAATTAACAGTTTATGGTACAGTTTATCGTTACAATATTATTCTTCCAGCACATCAACCAGGTTGTGTATCTCGTCGTTTCCCTTTTGTATACGATGACATACAACGGTGTTGTTTTAAACGATATTTGCGTCAACGCTATTTGGCAAGTTCCAACAGCAAGTGTAAAATCGAGCCATTTCTACAAATATCCAAAGGCCGCCACCAACTAAAGGGAAAAAGTCCCGTGACGACCTTTTGTGTGTGTCTGTGTTTGTGAGTGTGTTTTCTTTCTTGCGCTTCCAATGACGTTTGTGCCATACGTAACTATGTTTTTGTGTCTAATAATGCAGCAGCTGTACGGACTAGTGAGCATTGTTTTGTTTTCTATAGCGTAGCCGTAGCGTACTAATGCCTTAACATGTTGCCCCAAGTGAGGGAAGATGATCATTTTACCCAATTCAATTCAACTTGTCCCCAACATCGCCAAATGAGCAGCGATATGAAAGGCTACAGTTCCTTTGCAGGGGCCATTATAGGATGGATGGTGTGTCGTAACTTGGCCCCTTGCAAGTAAACCGTCATGTGAAGCCTGTGATTACTGTGAGGGCAGCCTGTGTGAAGGAATGCGTGCCAGGCAGACTTGTTCCCATAGCGACGGTGATGCTGCCCAGGCAGTGTGAATTTGTTAAATTAATTTAGACCCAGCCATAGCCCCAGGATTTCAATGAGATGGAAAATAGAGTTATGCGCTGTCTGAAATAGAGGCACCGGCTCAAGTTCACCTAAGGACAACGCTTTATGTCAAGACAGCACAAGAGTAAAAGTACTGGCAATCACTTACCACAATATTCTGTATTTACAAAGCACCATTCTTTAAAAAACGTAAACTAGGTATACAAGCGGTTGTTGGCCATGCATTTGGTACCTTGGCCTTCAGTGGGAACTTAACTTAATCCACCTCTTAATACCGCCAGTATCAGGTTGCAGTTATAGAAACCATCAAAACTATATGAAGCATAATGTAACACACCGCCTCGGAGCAGTTCAGTTTCTGGAAGCAATACAGCCAAGATAAATAGTACAAAATAGGGAGTAAATGAATGCAGTTTCATGAAACAATCACTAGAATTTAGGTTGTAAATGTACCTGTAGGTAAGTGTTTCTGATAGTGTTTGCAGCAGAGACAGACCCCCACTAACACCAAGTTAAAAATACTGCTGAGTTCAAAGTTTTGTGTCACCTCACAAGTTAGCCATATTGTGATGGCTTATGATCCACAGGTGTCAAACTCTGAGCCTCGAGGGCCACTATCCTGCAGGTTTTAGAAACCCCCCCCCACCCCTCCGCAGTTCACCCGATTCAACCGA